AATTATAGGCCTATATCTCTTTTAAACGTGGATTATAAGATATTTGTAAAAATTTTGGTAAATAGGCTTATGAGGGTGGTGCATCATCTTGTGCATAAAGATCAATCAGGGTTTATAACAGGAAGGTATATGAAAAACAATGTTAGACAAATTATTAATCTATTAGAATACTTAGATAAGAACAACCAAGTTCCTGCAGGGCTCATATTTTTAGATGCTGAAAAAGCATTTGACCAATTGAATTGGCATTTTATGCTAAGAGTAATGGAAGAAATGAATTTTGGTGAAAACATATTACAAGCCCTTAAGGTAATATATCAAAAACAAACAGCACAACTTATTGTTAATGGAGGTCTTTCGGAGGTTTTCACAATAGAGAAAGGTACTAGACAGGGGTGTCCTTTATCGCCATTGTTGTTTGTTTTAACATTGGAAATATTATTGATCAAAATTCGAGAGTCTCAGGAAATTAAAGGAATATATGTTAATAAAAAAGAATATAAGTTAAGAGCTTTTGCGGATGACTTGGTTGTTACTTTGTCGCAACCTGATTATTCTGTAGTAAACTTATTACAGTTGATTCATCATTATGGCTTGGTCTCGGGTTTTAAGATTAATGTAAATAAGACCAAAATTTTACCTAAAAATATGTCTAGTCAGGAGAAGCAGATTTTGACTAACCTGACGGGTTTTGAGATTGTTAATAAGGTAAAATATTTGGGGGTGATGTTGTCTGTTTCTAATGTAAAATTATTTAAAAATAATTATGAAAGGTTGTGGGTCAGGGTACAGAAGGACTTGAAGAACTGGGAAAAGTTGCAATTATCCCTCATGGGAAGAATTGCAGTGATAAAAATGAATATTTTACCCAAGTTTCTTTTTCTGTTTCAAATGTTACCAATTTTGAAAAATGAGATTAATTTAAATGAGTGGCAGAAGGGTCTTAATAAATTTATCTGGGCAGGGAAAAAGCCAAGGGTTAAGTTTAAAATTATGCAAGACTTCCGTGAGAGGGGTGGACTTAAGGTACCAAATTTGAAATTATATTATGATGCGGTGGTTTTAACACTAATCAGTGATTGGGTAAATTTGACAAATTCTGAGATACTTTATCTAGAGGGATGGGATTTACTTTATGGGTGGCATGCCTATTTAATATTCAATAAAAAAATGGATTGGGCTTTTAAATCTCATATCTTAAGAATTTCTTTACTTAGGATTTGGAGAAAATATTATAAAAGTGATTTCAAAGTACCATTATGGGCTATACCTTGGCATGCGATAGAAGCAATAAAAAGAGGGGTTAAAATGGATATGGTGTCTTACAGACAGTTACTTAAATGGGATGGACAAAACTGGCAATTAAAATCACGGGAAGAGTTAGCACAAGAAAACTTTATTTATTCTTGGTTCCAATATAGGCAATTACTAGACAGATGGAAGATGGATTGTAAGGTGGGTTTTCTTAGAGAAGATGAAAATCTTATCAAGCAAGTAAAGGATTCAAGACAAACCCACATTAAGAGAATTTATGCGGTTTTAGTTGAATTGGATTCAGAAACGGAACTAATTAAAGATTGTATGATAAGATGGGCGCAGAATTTTGGTGAGCCAGTCTCATTGGACACCTGGGAAAATATTTGGGTGAGAAATGTCAAATTTACACAAGCACAGAACTTAAGGGAGAATTTTTATAAAATGTTTTATAGATGGCACCTTGATCCACAAAAAATGTCTTATATGTACCCTGACGTGCAACCCAAATGTTGGAGATGTGGTTATAAGGAGGCTTCCTATTATCATATTTGGTGGTCATGCAGAGAGATAAAAGCATTTTGGATCAAAATATGGTGGAATATCCAGAGAATTTTTAGAAGGAGGGTAAAATTTACTCCGCAATTATTTTTGTTAGGTATTGTTACAGATTGTGATACAAAGGAGGTTGTTTTGATGTTAAATTTGATTACAGCCGCTAGGCTGTTAGTAGGACAATATTGGAAGAAGGAATCTTTGCCTACATTGCAGGAATGGTTTCTTAAAGTAGCTTATCTGGCGGAAATGGCAAAGATTTCGGCTTTCTTAAAGCAACAAACGCAAGAGAAGTTTCTTGCTGTTTGGGATAAATGGATAAAATTTATACAATTTAGATTGGGTATACAAAAATATTATATAGTTTTTTCATAAGTTTTATTTTCATATATATTATAGATAATCTTTTCATATATATAAATATAAAGTTCTTAATTTAATTTTTATTTTTACTTCTTAAGCCTATATTCTGCTCTGGGAAGCTCAGGGGGGGGGGAAGGGAGGGTTTTTTTTTTTTTTTTTTGGGAGGGGTGGGGGGTTTTTTTTTATATATATATATGTATTGTTTAGTTTTATTTTTTTTGTATATGTTGTCTCTTGTTTTGTACTCTTTTTTCTTTTTTGTAAAATTTATAAAACTTTTAATAATAAAAAAAAAAAGCACTGTTTCTATGGAAAAATCAACACATACAATAAGAGGTGTTAAAGCAGGGCTTTTCAACCAGTGGTATGGGTACCACCTGTGGTACATTGGCACCTGGCAGGTGGTACACGACCATCTTAGAAAAGTGGTAGCAAGGGAGGGGAATGAGCTGAACCGGTGGCAGCACCTCACAAGCCTGAGCAAGAGATGGCTGGAGCTGCAGGGCTGTCAGGGCTTAGCGGAAGCGCCAGGATCAGTGCCACTTTCCAACTGATCGGCGCTTCTTCGGGGCTGTCAGGGCTCAGTGGAAGCGCCAGGATCAGCGCCAGGCTCCAGCTGGAGTTCGGCACTGATCCTGGTGCTTCTGCTGAGCCCCGAAGAAGTACCAATCAGCTGGAAAGCAGCACTGATCCTGGCACTTCTGCTGAGCCCAGAAGAAGTGCCGATCAGCTGGAATGTTTCCGCATCTCCAGGGTCTTGTGATTTACATTCAGATGCTTGGCAACTGATTCATATTTATGACGCTCACGGTGTCCCAGGGTCATGTGAAGTGACCAAAACCTGCTGCAACCACCCAGTAGATGGGGGAAATAAAAACCAAACACTCCCCCACCCCACCTCCACTGCCAATCCTCAACAGAAATGCTCACAACAATGAAAACCTTGGACAGGAGGAAGAACGCCGCCAGGTGGGCAGGCAGGTGTCTTGCTTGGGTATGGCTTGGGGGGCACTTTTTTCAGTGCCATTGTAACTTCGAACAGTCACTAAGCAAAATGTTGTAAGTCAAGGACTACCTGTATTTTATCACTTTTTTCCTTTTTTTTTTTTGGCCATTAAGTTTTTGACACCTTGCTAGGCGACTAGTGGTACTCGGATGTTGCCATATCCTAAAAGTGGTACAATGGGTGAAAAGGTTGAAAAGCCCTGTGTTAAAGGATATGCATAACCAAAAGATTTTTATGACATGCATCAATCTAGAAAAGAATGTTGATCCTTATTAATAAATATGATCAGGAAAAGGATCCTTAGGTGTATAAAATATCCTAGTCAAAAATAATCTAAAATGTTACATATTATTATGTTTATTAATTATCTCCTTTTATTACTTGCTTTATTGCTTTTTAATAGGAAAAAAACTTCATATATTTTAATGTCTCTACTGTGTTTGTTGTTATCTTTCATTTTATTGCTTGACTAATTTAATTAGCTAGTTTTCTAACAATATTTTATCAGGTTGACTCTGTATCAGAAATTCATCATTAGCTTTTTACCTCCTTCTGCATTATATTATACTGCTTTTGGTGCTTGTTTTTTACACTGATTTACGCTATTGTGTAACTTTATATAACACCTCAAGAATCTGAGAAAGAAAAGACAGAGAGAGAGAGAGAGAGAGAAAGAGGGAGAGGGAGGGAGGGAGGGAGGGAGGGAGGGAGGGAAGAAGGAAGGAAGGAAGGAAGGAAGGAAGGAAGGAAGGAAGGAAGGAAGGAAGGAAGGAAGGAAGGAAGGAAGGAAGGAAGGAAAGGGAAGGGAAGGGAAGGGAAGGGAAGGGAAGGGAAATTTTTTTGTTTTAGCTTGAATTCTAAAGGTACAGTGGGTGGATTTAAAATAGCTAATGTCACATTCCAGAAAAGGGACGTCAGAAAAAAAATCAGTTTAAGTCTTTTTGCCCACATTAGTTGCTTCAAACTGAAAAACCAAGGCCAACTCTAGTTCACTGAATTCTTTTCTAGAGTTTCCTTCCTTGCTCCAGGCCAGGTAGTGCTTTTCCTAAATGTTCTTGAGTGCTACTGAGATATTCCTTTATTCAGGATTGTTGTTGCTTACTTTAATATCATCATTACCACTCCTGAAACGTGTGCAGATTTTAGCAAATGATAAAAAGGTGGAGGACAAACAGCTAAAGCAAGAATAACTGTGGAAAGGCATGCATATGACCGGGTAACTAATTCAAATGTTGTCTGGCAGCTTACGAGACCCAGATATTCACTAGCCAGTTAATTCCTAATGATCTCACATCTCATTATGCCCTGTCACTTTTGGATAGCACTTTGCCTTGAAGAGGTGGATCAACACCCTATTGGGAGGCTCTCCTAGGCTTAATGGAATGTCCTTTATCTCTCAGGAAACAAATGGGTGAAAATGCAGCTTCCCATAAGGTTCATTGGCCAAGTAAGAGTTGTACATCTACGGTACGTTAAGATATATCTAAATTTAGTAGCTGGAGCAGTGGGGTTTTTGTGCAGTGAGGGAGAACACACTATTATGTTTCATTGGTTGACTGCTGGCTCCTGCGTGAGGCAATCTGCACTGTGATTGGTTGCTGTGGGTGTGGAGGGGGACTTTTCTTTTTCTCCCGCCTTTTTCTTCTGTGTGCTCTGTGATTTACCTCACGATGCTCCTGTTTGCCTGACTATCTTGTTTGCTGTATATATAGATGTAAAATATATTTATTTACATAATACTACAAGTTTGTGTCAGCATCTCTGACTTCATTTGGACACCTGTTGGGCAATTCCCTGACAACATATTTTCAAGTTACCTTACCTTTCCTCTGGATATAACGAAGAAAGTACTTCCTTCCTCTCCTTCCCGGATAACATAATCACCTTTGTCATAGTATTCCTGTGGAACAAAGAAAAGACAGGCAATGATAAGCTGTAAGTCCTTGACTTACAACAGTTTAGTGATTATTTAGTGATCGTCTGACGTTACAACAGCATTGAAAAAAGTGACTGATGACCATTTTTCACACTTCTTACCATTGCACTTCTGACCCTACAGTCACGTGATCAAAATTCAGACACTTGACAATTGACTCATATTTATGACGGTTGCAGTGTCCCGGGGTCATGTGTTCACCTTTTGTGACCTTCTGACAAGCAAAGTCAATGGGGAAACCAGATTCACTTAGTAACCATGTTACTGACTTAACACCTGCAGGTATTAGCAACTGTGGAAGAAATGTCATAAAATGGGGCACTTACTAAATGTCTCACTTAGCAACAGAAATTTGGGGCTCAATTATGGTTGTAAGTCAAGGACTACCAGTATTTAGATCTCCCCACGACACTAACTAAAGACCACTGGCATCTTCTAGGGAAAAGTATTTAATTTCTTACCAAACGACAGTCAAGACTTAAATATGAATATTATATTAATCAATTTGCTTAAAGTGCACTGAAGTTTTTTCCTTCAAGCAAGGGTGATATTAATATTACATAACAATCACTGTATTTGAAGTGGTTTCTATATGGGGAGAACAGAATCTTTCTATGCCAGAAAAATAATGCAAAAAGCCACATTCAAAAAAGCTACAGAAGCTTTTGGGAAGAAAAGCCAAAAGATTTTTGGCTCCACTGCTTGCATTTTCCCTGTGGCAAGTATGTCTTCTTCTGCATAAGTTATAAACACGTTGATCAATTAAACATGAATGTTTTTTTAAATGACTGAAAGGGATTTAAAGCTAATTGATAATCCAAATAAATCTATTAAAGAATGTGGCATGACTAATTGCACAAAGTAATCCCACAGTCTTTTGCTTCCTTTGATCAACTGTTCAGATTTAGTCAGTGTAAACCCATTGAAATCAATGGATCATTAATATGGGCCAATAAACCTAAAGGTATTGATTATTCAGGCTTCAAACATACATACATAATATATACATACATACATACAAACATTATTTTTAAATGACGCGAAATCCAGAAGCCATGAAGGTGAACTGGAAGTGATTCCTTAACTCTATGGCAGGCATGTCAAACTCACGACCTCACGTGACGTCGCGCGACGTATCGGAGCTTTTTCGCCATTGCCAGCAATGGGGTGGACACAGCTCCGGTATGATGAAACCTGCCCGCGGGCCGGCAGTTTGACACCCCTGCTCTATGGGATGCAGGGAACACTTGAGAGAACAATCAAAAATGATTGGTTTCTATGAATTGGGCCTTATAAATATGATCTAAGTAGCTCCTGTTTCTGGCCCTTAAATATGAGGCCTTCTAAGTGGGAATTGTAAATGTATAAGACTATCATATAGACAGCACCAAGTTTGGAAAGATTTCTATAGATACATTGCTAATAATACTGATATAATGCAATTAAGAATGGCAGGGGTTGCAAACATGCTCAAGTTCTAGGACAGTACAGCTGCTTATCATAAAATTGAAGAATTATAAATGCATGACATGACCTCTTCAGGAAGAAGACTTAGGTAATGGTAGTAAAGAGATACAAGTTAGTTCGTTGGGACAAGGATGCTGGATTTTCAAAGAGGATTTTAACAGAATAACAGAGTAATAGAATAACAGAGTTGGAAGGGACCTTGGAGGTCTTCTAGTCCAACCCCCTGCTCACGCAGGAAACCCTATACCATTTCAGACAAATGGTTCATCCAATCTCTTCCTAAAAACCTCCTGTAGTTGGAGCACCTACAACTTCTGGAGGCAAATCGTTCCACTGGTTAATTGTTCTTTGTTCTAACTGTCAGGAAATGTCTCCTTAATTCTAGATTAGTTCCTTCCTTGATTAGTTTCCATTCGTTGTTTCTTGTCCTGCCTTCAGGTGCTTTGGGGAATAGGCTGATCTCCTCTTTGTGGCAGCTCCTTAGATATTAGAACACTGCTATCAGGTCATATAATGTGATTCCTTTAGAAAAACAGAGGGTCTAATAAAGTTTAAATTAAAGAATATATTGCAAAAACAATTTAATTTATTTTGTTCTTAAGTTTACGAAAGAAGGCAGAGGTTTCCAGAGGTATCATGGATCAAGTTGCTCAAACTGGTCAAGTGAACTTTCTTAGATAATTGCTAAAATATACAGAGCTTTCTCATCCTGGGCTTCCTTTATAGCTGGAGAAATGCCAGATATTTAATTTCTCTTATCATTCATCTTGTGATCTAATTAATCTATTATAGAGAAGAAATTCCTCACAAATAGAAATAGTGGATTACTTCTGAAGAATGTTGTGGGCTACAGGAATGTTACCGCATTCTTATGGAAATGATATTCTCCTTAAGTAAAGACAGGAATGAAAAAAAGAAATGGGTGGGAGAAAAAGCTAGAAAATTCCTAATAAATCCTTAACAAAAACTGCAATTTCATAACAACATGTATTCCATTATCTCACAATGCAATTTTTATGCTGGCAAACTATTCATCCCCATTCGTCCCACAGACAATAAACATGTTGGATTATTTGAGGACATGGAACATCTCAGTAGATGTGCAACCCAAATAACTGGGTTAAAAAAGTCAGTATGGAGGTACCAGCAGATCCACCATTTTTTGGATCTGCATTGATAATGCACATATATACAAAGGGGCAGAGTTCCACCTGCATTGCTGTGACCGCCATCTTGATTTTCTTTGACATCTCCCATGGATACTATTGAACCAAATTACTTAAGAATCCAAACAATATTTTCTTTTCTTTAAAGAGATGGAACCAGCAGGAAGGACCTACCACATGCTAATATTTGTTTTATTGAATTTTAGTTGCTTTAAAATATTTCCAAGGAAGAAAAATGGGACTATCAATTTGGACACGTGTTTGTCTGTGTAGGATTTATTTATGAACTTATATAGGGCATTTAAAGCCCCCCAGTCCTGCATTAATGCACCTAAAATCTACTGCCTGCAAATGGACCCCTAGCCTCAATTTTGCAGCCGTCCTTAGCTCCACAGTTTTGCAACATTATCACAACCTTTTGTCTTTTAATTTTAAGAGAAAGAATCTTTTTCTAACATACAGCTGGGATTCATGTCTGAAAACTTAGCAAATGGCTGTGGCTCAGAGTGGACAATACAGGTAGTACTTGACTTACCACCACAATTGAGTCCAAAATTTCTGTTGCTAAGCAAAAAAGTTGCTAAGTGAGTTTTGCCCCATTTTACAACCTTACTTGCCACAGTTGTTAAGTGACTCACTGCAGTTGTTAAGTAATAAGATGGTTGTTAAGTGAATCTGGCTTCCCCATTGACTTTGTTTGTCAGAAGGTCGCAAAAGGGGAATCACATGATCCCGGGACTCTGCAACCGTCATAAATATGAGTCAGTTGCCAAGCATCTGAATTTTGATCACATGACCACGGGGATGCTGCAACTGTCGTAAGTGTGAAAAATGGTCATAAGTCACTTTTTTCAGTGCTGCAGTAACATCAAACAGTACTAAAGAAATAGTTGTAAGTGAAGGACTATCTGTATTGAGTTAAAGACAGCCAATGGTGTAAATCTGCTTTCAGGTACATAAAATAGGATGCCTGAAACAAATGACTCGGGCTGTGGCTTAAGCAGTCAGGCCAGCTCTGCAAACAATTTGTGCTAGACGATGATTTCAGCGAAGGTATTCTATTGTTGCAGTTGCATAACATCGAAAACAGGCAGTGGGTCTCTTTAGGCTTCCCTGCCAAATGGAAGAAGTGTGTTGCCAAAGACTTGCTCTGAAAAAATTCAGGTCACGCAGGCAACACAACAGCTTTGGGAAGGAAGAAAGGGAAGGAGGGAGGGAGGGAGGGAAGAATTTACAGAGAAAAGCTGAGCCCACATGGCATCCAAAATTAATATATCTTGACTGTACTTTTCATCATCACCGGATGACTCTGCAGCACTCCTGTCTACAATTAATTTCCTTTTTTTTTTAACCCTTTGTTCCACTGGAGCATGCAAAATGATTACGTAAGAATATGTGCACAATAAATCAATTTGCGCAGAGTAATTTCAATTAGCCCTTCAAACTGTATAAAACTGTTCATTTACACTGAATAAAGCATAAACAAAAGAGAAAAAAATAGATATATTAATAATGGAATTTTTTTTTCCAATTACAAATCCTTATATTCCAAAAGTGTAACGAAAGACGGCAGACAGAATATCCTGCTATTTTATTTGAAAGCTAGCCATGATTGCTTCTATGGGTCATTAACACAGATATTTGGTGATATATGAGATAAGTAACACAGCATGTCACATTTTTACAGGTCAGTGTTATAATTCCATCAGCTATTTTAAGTGCTCTTAAATACAGATCTCCAGATTTCAAATGTTAGCCAGTGTTCCTTCCCTTCCCCTATGAAAGGATTAAATTTACAGATTTCTAATAGCATCTAAATCTTTCCCTTCCCTATCCATTTATTTCCTTTCCTTTCCTTTCCTCTCCTCTCCTCTTTCTTCTCCTCCCCTCCCCCACTCCCTCTCTTCCCCTCAATTTAGTCAAATTTTGACATATTTGGGGACTTTTGCACAGATGGATTTCATCTCAACCTTTTGCAATGGGACATTATTTCCCATAAATTTCAGCTTTTTAGGTAGTTATAATCTGGCTATTTTATGTAAAGTACTGTGATAAAACATGCTATCCACCAAAAACTACATGTTGCTAAAGCAAATTTATGGGAAGCCATGCAGTTTAGAAAATATTCCTGGAATTTCTGTGTGGGTTTCAGAAAAGAAAGGTCAGTATCTTCCTGCACAATGGGACTTTCAGATTCTGCATGTTAAAAATGCTACTGAATAATCTTATTTACCCCAGATCAAATAAGATAGAATTTGGAGCTTAATCAGAGCACACTGTAATATATAACTCTGTTTGACTTTACCCTAGACTAGAGTGATTTTGCTAAAGAGATAAATAAGATTAAATAATCTCATTAGTAGGGGTACAAGACTTACCACTTCCAAGCAGTCTATAATCTTGGTTAGTTTATCTTCGGGTAAATTCTTCAGTAAAGAAACACTTGGAAAAAAAACAACCAAAGAAATCCATTGAATTCAATTTGTATACAACGTTTTAGCTCTCATTTTTCAATTTTAACTTTGATCCATTTTGACTTCAGCTCTTTCTTGGGGAGATATTAGATACCCCTAAAAATATTGTGCATATTATGGGCATTACTTATAAAAAAACAGTTAACGTGAATGTGGTTAATGGTAAGGTTTGGCATATAAATGGAAGTTCAGCAGTGATACAGAATAATCACTACAATCTACAGCCCTTGCAGACGTTTTTGCCCAAAATACATTCTTTCAGTTTGGTTTAAGTACTACTACTAAGATAATTACATAAGATTTTATATCTGAGGTCCATGTTTCTTCAAAGAATTGTGATTTGAGAACTGGTTTCTAAATGGGTGTCATTAAAAAGGACAAGTTATCTGTGAGATTCTGGTCAACAGTATCAGTAATCAGTACTTACTCAGTCTATACAACTGCCTTCAAACCATGAGGAAACCCCCCATTTCCTATCCACTGATGAAATAAATACTGATAGAACAGATACTCCCTACTGATTCTTTTTCAATCAAAATTCACTGGGTTGAATAAATCTCCAGAACAAACTGGTGGACATGGAAAATGAAAATAAAAGAGATGATAACTCTTTGTGTAAACACTTGTATTTTGGTTTGACACTGGGTGTAAACAATATTATTGTTCTGTTTATAATACAATAGCTATTTTCACATTGAAATGAATGAATGATCAAGGTGGAACTGCATAGCAGGGGATATTTGTAGCTCCGAGATGAGCTGTGGAGTTCTTGGTGTTCTCTAAGTTTGGTTGTTTTCTTGCAGATGTTTTGTTACCAAACTAGGTAACATCTTCAGTGCTAGAAAGGAGTGTGTTTTTCAGCCATTAACAGAGACATAGGGATAAATGACATTTACATACCATTCAAAAGAGACAATCAAAACCTAAAAAGGAAATCGAAAGACCAAAAACACCTTCTTGCCAGCAATCAACACTCAGATAAGCAGGGATTAACATCAGAATTAATACCAGGCCAACAATCAAGCAGTAAACAATAATCCAATCAAGGAACTATCAGCTCAAACAAACAATGAAAGGAGTAAACAACAACCTAACCAAGAAATTACCAAGACGAAAATGTGGTAGGACAAGCCACTGTATATAAACAGCGAACAAATTCCACTCCTTTCCAGCACTGAAGATGTCATGTAGTTGGGTAATGAAACATCTGCAAGAACAGCAACCAAACCCAGAGAGCACTAAGGACTTCATAGAATTGCATGTTACAGAAACTTTTGTATAGAGCTCCTAATTATATGGATATTTGTAGTACAGAACCCAAATGGAGAAATTCAGAATTCAACTCCTAGAGAATATTCAGATTTATCTCCAATGTGTTCATTCCAATATAATAACTAAAGGATAATTCTGGATCTCAGAATTGGATAATAAGATTCAATTCATCTATCTTCTAAAAACAGGCATGTCAAACTGCCGGCCCGCGGGCCGGATGCGTCCAAAACTGCACCCACCCCATTGCCGGCAATGGGGGAAAAGTTGCGATGTGACGTCGCAAGTTTGACATGCCTGTTCTAAAAGCAGAAAGAGTGTTTTCAGGTAGCAGCACCAACTACCGACCCAAATACTTTATTTTTCTCTTACTTTCTTTCTTTCTTTCTTTCTTTCTTTCTTTCTTTCTTTCTTTCTTTCTTTCTTTCTTTCTTTCTTTCTTTCTTTCTATTTATTTATTTATTTAAGATAATAAGGTTTTACAAATAGGATCAATATATTGCCCAGCAAATTCTTGTCTCAGAACATCCTATTTTTATCTGCTGATATTAAAAAAAAGAAGATGCACGTGCCACGTTTACCTTCTCAGGAAGTTTCTATATTGGTCATGCCTTGCTTGAGCTGTTCTTCTCATGATGTTTTGGAAAACCTCTCTGTCTAATGCCCATGTTTTCACACTGGTGACAGCTAGGGAACAAAATGAAAACAAAACAGAAAAGTAGACAATTCTAGCATTCAACCTAATACCCATACACATTTCAAAACATATTTTTTCAACTAATGATGTTTACTAAAGTTCTCAGTGCTACTGACAGCAATTTCACACTTTCTCTCCAAGGAGTTAACACCGAAGAGTTGCAACCAGCTTCATACCATATTAGTCACACCTACATTTTTTTTTGTTTACCTTGTTCACCACTTCTATCAATTGGAAGATGACCTACAAATATTTTAGACAAATAAATGTAGTTGCCCCAAAGCATTTCAGAATAATGATTCAACTGTTATATAATATCTCCCAAAGTTATCTATAAATCAAATAGTGTAAGAAGCTAATTTTGAATGTAGACCTCCTCTATACCTCCATATTTGCTAGGGGAAAAAAACATTCTGAGTACATTGCATATTCCGCCACATTATGTTGGAATGCATGAGAATGTCCAGATTAGAGATCCTACTTTGCATAGGAAACACGAGCATGGTTGGAGCAAAATTGGGCTACGCTTGTGGCACATTGACCAAGTAAGTAAACAGACTTGAGTTATGACATAAAAGAATAACAGAGACAGAAGGGATTTTGGAGGTCTCCTAGTCCCTGCTCAGGCAGGAGACCCTACACCAGTGGTTCTCAACCTTTTTAATGCCGCGACCCCCAACCGGTTGTAAGTCAAGGACTACTCAACCGGTTGTAAGTCGAGGACTACTCAAGTGGTGCAGCACCGTTTGCAGAATGGGACTTTTGGCGGGCTCAGCAGGGCAGAGACAGCCTGGACAATTCCTATTGGCTTTTGAAAGCCAATAGAATAAAAGGGAGTAGCACAGCTAAGGAAAGGGGGAAAAAAATGGCGGACTGTGTTGTTTGGCGACCCCCGTGAAATGGTCGTTTGACCCCAAATGGGGTCCCGACCCACAGTTGAGAACCACTGCCCTACACCATTTCAGAAAAATGGCTCTGAAATTTCTTCTTAAAAGCCTCCAGTGTTAAAGCACCCACAACTTGTGAATGCAAGTCGTTCCACTGATTAATTCTTCTCACTGTCAGGAAGTTTCTCCTTAGTTCTAGGTTGCTTCTCTCCTTGATGAGTTTCCATCCATCGCTTCTTGTCCTGCCATCAGGTGCTTTGGAGAATAGCTTGTCTCCCTCTTCTTTGTGGCAACCTCTTCGATTTTGGAACACAGCTATCCTGTCCCCCCTCATCCTTCTCTTCCTTAAACTAGACATACCCAATTCCAGCAGCCATTCCTTATATGTTTTAGCCTCCAGTCCCCTGATCATCTTTGTTGCTCTCTACAAAACAAAAATGTTTTGCTGAAATATGGGATTGAAATTTGGTTGCTGAATGAAATAAGAGGAATATAGTAAAGGCTTACAAGTGGATCAACAGTCAGCAAAAAAAGAGGATGGGGCAACGTCTCTTCAGTTGTTAGATGTCTTTATGCATAAATGTATAAGGAAAGTTTGTGATGACATTAGAAATGCACCAATTGGGACCTGAAAGTTTGTGTACTTTGGTACAATGGAGACGCAGCGTTGTTGTTGTTATTAGGAACATCTTGAGAATACACCTTTACATATATCTACAAAGTTTTCTGCACAGATGTGACCGCCCTGCACTATTTTCAGGGAACTGGATTTTGTAGAGAGACTGATCAGTTCTATTCTATCTCTCTTCATTCCCATCTCTAATAAGAAAGTATTCAGAATTTCCCTACTATTGTTAATGAGAAAACATGGCAGGAACAATAATAATGTCATACATAGGTTTTATTCACTTTTTTTTTTAATTTCACCTCCTCGCAAAATTAAAGCAGTCAGGGAAAACATCCTCACCATGGAACCCTGGATTGTATTCTTGTTTTTGCCACATTTTTGGGAACAAGCTTACTTACCTTTTACTGAGGCTGTCCTTGTACAATTATATAAAATAGCCAGTTCTCCAAAGGCTGTCCATACGGGGATTGATGACAGAAATTTGTTATGCTGATAAACCTCCAATCTGCCTTCTGTTGGAAAAGGGGGAAAAAAAAACAAAGTAAAAATCAAACTGATATAATGATGTATTAAACTCCGCTTCCCTTTTATTGTTTTTGTACCGCTTTCAAAACATTAATCTGTTTTCCATTTTTAACTTGATTTTTTGTTAACAAGCTTGACTGAATAAATTTAGTAAGCGCCTATTTAATTATAAACTAATTGCAGTTTCAAATTGTCAGTAATTTAATTATGCAAATGCCTGCTCAAATAAGCTTACTCCATTGTTTCAGCATGTGTGGTTTTTTTTTTTTTTTTTTAAAAATATTTTTATTGGTGTTAAAGAAATGGACTTGTGTTACATTTGGTGTGTGATTTTTTTTTTCCCCTGACTCTTAAACATTTGTCACCGTAATAAGAACTTATAGTTCAGGGATAGAACATAACTACAAAATCTGAAATTCTATTCTATATGGCATAAAGCCAGGTTATCTGTAAAACTGCCTTTCTATCAGGCCATACAGGGTGGGCATGCTCTTAGTCCCTTTCTCTAAATACAGGTAGTCCTCAATTTATGACCCCAATTGAGCCCAAGATTTCTGTTGTGAGACATTTGTTAAATGAATTTTGCCCCATTTTACAACTTTCTTGCCACAGTTGTTAAGTGAATCACTGCACTTGCTACTGACTTTGCTTGTCAGAAGGTCAGGTCCGTCATAAATATGAACCAGTTGCCAAGCATCCAAATGTAAATCATGTGACCACGAGGATGCCGCATCAGTCGTAAGTGTGAAAAATGGTCATAAGTCACTTTTTCAATGCCGTTGTAACTTTTGAATGGTCACTAAACGAATTGTCGAGCACTACCTGTACTTGAAAATTGCACAGATTACCATTATCAGTTTATAGAGCCATATATTATAAAAAATGGCAAATAGGTGTGTGCGTGCATGTGCGTGTGTGTGTGTGTGTATCAAAAAGTTGAAATTCCTCCATGAGTTTCAAGCACGATTTGTGAGAAAGAGAGCCAAAATTGGCTATAATCTCTTTCTCCAGATTCTGCTCAGGGGGTTTTCATTTCCCCATTTTTATTGCGGTTGAAGAACGGATCGCATTAGTGCTAACAATTCTTCTTTCTATAGGCTAAACTTAATTTCTGGCTTCAACCAAAGGCGGGTTGTCATGTGTACGAGACCTCTAAACCTGGCAGCGCGTTTTCTTCCTTGTGAGTAATTGCTTCCTTCAGGATGACAAAAATAAAAAAAGTCTGTCTCACAGCATGCTGTCCACAAATTACCCGATTTTGCTAAAGAAAAAAACCACGATTGTTCTGGCACCAAAAGAAGTCAATGGAAATTGGAGATGAATATTTGGGCAGGAGGAAAGGACAGATTTGCCCTTAATCCTATTTCTTTCCTATTATCGATTTTAACGCTTAATTAGAGCTAATTCAATTCCGTTATTGATGTCTTCAGAACTGTGCAGCTTGTCAGATCAAACCTAGAGACAGAATTAGTCGTGGTTATTTAAGGACACCTTGTGACTCACATACAGTATATGCAAAGTATTTGGGTACGTTTGGGTTTTAACATCATCACAAGAAGGGTGATGTTTAGAAAGAGGCTGTGACATCTCCCCAAATTCTAGGCATTTTTCCTCCAGCCCAACTTACTTCATGAGTTAATGGTAGAAAGCAAAAAAAAGAAGAGCAAAATCTCAATTCTGCTCAAACACTGATCTTTTTCAGGCCCTACTTTGAATCCCAAACTGAGAATCTTGAGAAAACGATCATATCATTTTAAAATGCAGCGGCTTAAAAAAAAACCAATGATCTCTCTCTCTCTCTCTCTCTCTCTCTCTCTCTCTCTCTCTCTCTCTCTCCATATTCTTTGCATTAGATAATTATGTTGAGAACTGTACCTGTTTACTGTTGCAAAGTTGTATACTTTATATTTTAATTTTTTTCTGTTGTATTTTTCACTTATTTTTAAAGCTCCTGCTTTTTAAATAATATCTGCATCTTTGCGTTTTGTACCTTTTTTCTTTTTTATTATTAATAAATGAATGAATAAATAAATAAAATATTTTATTTTTTAATTTTTTTCCTGTTGTATTTATCACTTGTTTTTAAAGCTCTTGCTTTTTAAATAATTTAAGTATTTTTGCGTTTTGTACCTTTTCTTCTTTTTTTATTATTAAGAAATGAATGAATGAATGAATTAATAAAGTAAGTACATACGTACGTACAAGATACCTGGACCAGGTGGAACAAGCGTAATCCCAACAAAGCTTTCCTTGTATTAGCAGGCTAAGACTTAGCCTCAGAAGCAAAATTTCAGAGTTTATTTATTTAAATAATACTTAAGCAGTGCTTAAATAGACCATTAAAGTGGTTACCAACCTGCCAGGACAAATATATGGTTGCCAGGTTCTCCTTGTTTGATGATGTAGTTCCCTTGCTGGTATGTCCTTCCGTACATACACTCCACCATGTCCCTGATCTGCTGAAGGTCCAGCCTTTTGAGAAACTGGTTTCTACTCAGGGCATCTGTGATTAGCTTCTTCTCGCTTGCAATCAGCAAAACAGAGGACAGGGAAAGAGCGAAAAGTCAAGATTAATTTGCACACACGAATGAATCGCATTAATCTATTCCTCTGTCACAATATTCAACACCTACTGCCTGTGAAGGTAACTTCCTTTTCCAGAGGTAACACAAAATGTTCATTAGTAGGTAGGTATCTTTATCTGCTAGCCAGCTTTTCTCCAACCTGTCCAGTAATTGTTTTTTCGTATCCCCTTGTAGCTGAACTTTTAAATAGGATGGTGCAGAAGGAACATTCAGGTAGTCTTTGATTTACAACTACAACGGAGTCCAAAATTTCTGTTGTTAAATGAGGCATTTGTTACGTGAGCTTTGCCCCATTTTACGACCTTTCTTGTCACAGTCGTTAGGTGAATCACCGCAATTGTTAAATTAGTAACACGGTTGTGAAGTGAATCTGGCTTTCCCATTGACTTTGCTTGTCAGGAGGTTGCAAAAAGAGGATCACATGACACACACACCCAGGACACTGCAACCGTCATAAATATGAGTTGGTTGCCAAATGTCCGATCATGTGACCATGGAGATGGAGCAATAGTTATTAAGTATGAAAAACGGTCATAAGTCGCTTTTTTCAGTGCCGTTGTAACTTTGAATGGTCACCAAGTGAACTGTTGTAAGTCGAGGATTACCTGTAATTCATTCTACTTTACTGTAAGCCAGTGGTTCTTAACCTGTGGGTGGGGACCCCATTTGGGGTTGAACGACCATTTCATGGGGGTCGCCAAACAATGCAGTCAGCCATTTTTTTCCCCCTTTTCCTTAGCTGTGCTACTCCCTTTTATTCTATTGGCTTTTGAAAGCCAATAGAATAGACTCTCTTGAATAGAGTCTAATTCTATTGGCTTTCAAAAGCCAATAGGAATTGTCCAGGCTGTCTCTGCCCTGCTGAGCCCGCCAAAAGTCCCATTCTGCAAACGGTGCTGCACCAGTTGAGTAGTCCTCGATTTACGACCGGTTGAGGAGTCCTCGACTTACAACTGGTTGGGGGTCGCGGCATTAAAAAGGTTGAGAACCACTGCTGTAAGGCTACGTTAACAGAACCTCGCAAAGCTGAAGGCATAAACTTCCCGCCTCCACTTTTAACTACTCGGTCCATTTAGGGCGGGTTTTTCCTGATGTTTCTTTTTCTGACCGTCAGGCAACTGTGGGCTCCTGCCTCTCTTCTCGGATGGTTTGCTGCACAGCCTCGTCTCCTGTCTTTCCCCAAGCTCATTCATGCCTCCCAATTTCATCCCTCCCCTTTCAGAGTAGAGCCTCCTATCTCACTGAAAGGGGGAATGGGACATCTCATCACAGCCAACTTGTCGCAGGACAACTCACCACAGACAACTGGCTGTGGGACAATTCAACAATTCAATTAAACAATGAAAAATGTATTTTAATTTTTGTCATTCACATTGCATTTCGTCCTTCCTTTGGCATCTTTCCTTTAATGATTCTATGCCACTGTTTCTTCGATATGAGTGTAACTCTTGTCCTGCGGCGAGTTGGTGGTAGCGAGTTAGCTCTGGTGAGATAATAATAATAATAGTAATAATAATAATAAAGTTGGAAGGGACTTTAGAGGTCATCTACTCCAACCCCCTGCTCAGGCAGGAAACCCTATACCATTTTGGACAAATGGCTGTCCAGTCTCTTCTTAAAAACTTCCAGTGTTGGAGCATTCACCGCTTCTGGAGGCAGGTGGTTCCACTGATTAATTGTTCTAACTGTTAGGAAATTTCTCCTTAGTTCTAGGTTGCTTCTCTCCTTGCTTAGTTTCCATCTGCTGCTTCTTGTCCTGCCTGCAGGCGCTTTGGAGAATAGCTTGACCCCCTCTTCTTTGTGCAGCTTCTGAGATACTGGAACACTGTTATCATGTCCCCCCTCGTCCTTCTTTTCATTAAACTAGACATACCCAATTCCAGTAACCGTTCCTTATATGTTTTACCCTCCAGTCCCCTAATCATCTTTGTTGCTCTTCTCTGTACTCTTTCTAGAGTCTCAGCATCTTTTTTACATTGTGGTGAGCAAAACTGGGTGCAGTATTCCAAGTGTGGCCTTACCAAGGCATTATAAAGTGGTATTAATACTTCACGTGAGCTTGATTCTATGAAGTATTAATACCACTTTACAATGCTGTGATGAGTTGGCCGTGACAAGTTGTCGAAGACCCCCAGAAAAATCAAGTGAAACAACTGCACCACAGAGAATTCTACAAAATATTTCAACATGTGTGCTTAGTTTGCACATGGTGATAGGTTTCGTCATTCCTTGTGGGTCAAAACTGCATCTCCAAGAATGTACAGTATTTCCATTCAGCTGTATCCTGCAGAGGAAGATTAATATTGGTGCTCAAGTTGTCTTTCAGGAGAGGTAATGTTGACCTTCTTCTTACAAAACCCTGATATATTTCTATGTCTACCCTCTGCTACTCCAAGAGAGGTTTTTAAATTCACATTAGTTCTCTGGAGCAGTGTTTCTCAACTGCGGTAACTTTGAGATGTGTGAATTTCAACTCCCAGAACTGCCACAGCCACCATGCCAAAAGTGTGCCGACTGGGGAATTCTGGGAGCTGAAGTTCACACTTCCTGAAGCTGTCAAGGTTGAGAAACACTGCTCTAGAGAAACAAAGCTATGATGACAATATAAAGGTAAAGGTAATAGTTTCCAGAGTCTAGCTGCGTCCGACTCTAAAGGACGATTCTCATCTCTGTTTCTTAACCAAGGGAGCCAGCGCAGTGGTGGGATTCAAATATGAGAACAACCGGTTCTCTGGGTGAATGCCGCTTCCAGAAGTCCATTCTGGGCCTGGGCAACAAAAAATTAGCTACCGGTTCTGCTGAAGTGGTGCGAACCGGCTGAATCCCACCATTGAGCCAGCGTTGTCCTAAGACCCTTCCGTAGTCAAGTGGCCAACATGACTATATCCTGAGACACACAGAACACTGTTACCACCTTCCCACTGAAGTGGTGCCTATTCATCTACTCAACATTTGCATGCTTTTGAACTGCTAGAGGGGCAGGAGCTAAGGCAAGAAATGAGAGTTCGCTTTTTTCAGTGCCGTTGTAACCTTGAAGGGTCATTAAATGAACTGTTGCAAGTCGGGGATTACTTGTCCTGTAAAGCAGAGGTCCCCAACCTTTTGGGCAGCAGAGACCGGTTACATGGAGAGAGCTTTTTTCCACGGACTGGAGAGGAAAAATGGTTTTGTGTGCTGCCTGCATCCCGCAGATGGGGCTTTGCTTGCTTGTGTGGCCCGATTGCTGGCATACCGTGGCCCGGTACCGGTCCACAGACTGGGGGTTGGGGACCCCTGTCCTAGAGATATCCCACAGATCACCGGATTATACTTTTCTGGTTATTCTGATCTTTTTCCTGCCATCCCTGCCCTAAAGCTGCTAATAATTTGATAAGAAAAACCAGACAGCCGCATTGAGTCCCGCTTAAGTCATTCAGCCACAGAACAATTATTTCAGCGCCCAGAAAACAATGCAGCATTTTTCAGCAGCATCCAATACATCCAAAGTCAATGCTGCTGTTCTAATTATGACAAAGGACCAAGGCTATGAAGCAGAAGCAATCTATAACTTGTGTCAGCTTCAAAATATGAAATGCTGGAGGGAGTTGATAGCAAAGACAAAGTGCTTAACCAAAGTTCCCAGAGTAGCAGGTAACAAATAATAAAAGAAAATACAAATAACCTAGAGTGATTTTCTTTCTTTTTTCATTGTGATGACTCCATGATTAGATTCATAGAAAAGAATCTGGCAAAAGAAGATAGCAGATTGCTCCCATAATTTATGATTTACAGAATTAGGGAAAGTTGAGTGGCTTCGTTACTTTGCACTCTTTTGTAAAAAACAAAACAAAAACAAAGTTCTATTACTCTGTTAAGAAGAGAAACATTTTCTCCTGTCCATATATTTTGGATTTTAACTCCAATCAGTAATGGCAAGACTTTTGGGTGTTGTAGTTCAAAGCCTCTGAAAGATCATCTCAGCATGCCTGGCTGAGGAATTCTGGGAGCTGAAGTCCACAAGTCATAAAAGGGCCAGGTCTGAAGACCCCTGACCTATGTTTTCTATCTCTGAACTAAATATCTTTTCGCCACAAGACAAAGGGACATGAATCTTTTTATCATTTTTGCTACTCTGCTCACTGCTTGCTTCAAATTCCTGCCACTGGGTCTGTCCATGGTTACCTAACATAAGCCCATTAAAATTGAGAAATCACATCAGTGTTTCTCAACCTCAGCAACTCTTACACTATATGGACTTCAACTCCCAGAATTCGTAGCCAAGCATGGTGGCTGAGGAATTCTGGGAGTCAAAGTCCATATATCTTAAAGTTGCGGAGGTAGAGAAACACTGCATTAGACTTCTGTATCATTCATTTGCAAATAAGCAAACCTGAACTCAGAACTGTAATAATAATAGTAATAATAGTAATAATAATAATAGTAATAACAACAAAAACAACAATAACAACATAACACCCCGGACTTAACAACTGTCGATAAGAAAGACAAAAAAGTCTAGATAGTGGATGTGGCAGTGCCTGGAGACAGCAGAATAGAAGAGAAAGAGCTGGAGAAGATAACAAAATACAAAGACCTACAAATAGAAATAGAAAGACTGTGGCAAAAGCAAGCAAGGGTAGTACCAATAGTCATAGGCTCCTTAGGTGCAATCCCAAAACAACTGGAGCACCACTTGGACACCTTCCTCGGCATTGACAAATTTGCCATCAGTCAATTGCAAAAGGCAGCCTTACTAGGAACTGCTTCCATCCTGCTACGATATCTGTAATGCCATCAAATATCCACATCTGCCTATCCCAGGTCCTTGGTAAGGACTCGATGTGTAGACAAAAATGCCAAACCCAGTCTGAACATCTGGCTGACTGTACGATGATCAATAATGATGATGATGATGATGATGGAAGGGACCTTGGAGGTCATCCAGTCCAGGCAGTCGTT